ACTGTAACAAAAAGAACTGATGGACACTAAAAATTTCAGGAAGTACTATATAAGCAGGAACCAGTGGTGATGAACGAGGAAGTGGAAGCTCCATTGAAGGCATTGGCACAAAATAAGGCCTTAAGAATTGATGGGATACCAATTGATTTGTTTCAATTAATAGATGTAGCCTTAGACACACTCATCAGTCTATGACAGGAAATTTGAGTTTTGGTTTTGCTTTGTTGTTTTTTAAAAAAATCTACTAGAATATGTTTTGAAAAAATATCCTTGTATGTTTTTATGTTGTTGTTATGTGCCATCGAGTTGCCTGTCATTCATAGCGACCCTTGTGTACAGGAGCCCTACGTTCTGCTTTATCCTGTGCCAATCTTCCTGTCTCTGACATACCTACCCCCAATAGCCCAGCCACTGAATCAATCCATCTCATCAAGGATCTTTCTCTCTTGCGCTGTCCCTCCAACCCTCCCAAGCATGATGTCCCTCTCCAGTGACTGGCCACTCCTTGAAACATGTCCAAGGTATGTCAGATGAAGCTTCAGAATCCTTGCCTTCAAGGAGCAGCCTGGCTTCACCCTCTCTAGGATGAACTTGTTTGTTCTTCTAGCAGCCCATGGTATATACAATACTCTTCTCCAGCACCACAGCTCAAAGGCATCAATTCTCCTATTATTCCTAGTCATTGTCCAGCTTTCTGATAAATGCAAGTAATTGCAAAGACCATGGCCTGTATCAGGCACACCTTAGTCTTCAGACTGACATCATTGCTCTTTAGTACTTTGGAGAGATCTGACAGCAGACTTTCCCAGTGCAATTCATCTTTTAATTTCCTGGCTGCTGGTACCAAAATGTTTGTGTGTGTGTGTGTGTGTGTGTGTGTGTGTGTATATATGTATATATGTATATATGTATATATATGTGTGTGTGTGTGTGTGTATATGTATGTATGTGTGTGCATTTTGTAAAAAGCTGAGAAAGTATGTGGGAAGAGTTTAGATGTCTTGGTCTTTTCAGTAATACAAAAGAGGTACACTCTTAGTATAGACAGCTAAGAGTAAGTTCATGAGACAAAAAGAATGGATAAGAAGCTGCTGTAAAAATCAGATAGGTCACAGTGTAGTAGACTAGTTTTCAGTCCCCACCACAGCCTAACAGTCATTCCATCCTATAACATAGTCGTAGCATCTTTGCATTTCATTCTCAAGTACTAGGTTATTTGCTGTTAACTACTAATCCTCCATTCTTCTTACCTTCTTATTACATCTTTAACAAGAAGAATACTATACCATTGTCAGTACCAATTTGGACATATTTTTTTGAAAATATGTTTTATTGCCACTGGTGACAGTGTCCATTGTACCTCTGGTTCAGAGCTCAGTGCCTGCCTTTAAGTTAGCATTACTTCCTTCCTATATTGAGCTATCTCAGTGCTTTGCAATATTGGGCCGTGTTTCCTTCTTCCTTCTCGTGTATGTTGGGTCACTGTGAGTCAGAGCTCATTCTGTTTCATCTAACAACAATTACCTGTAGCTCAGGTTACGAGCTCACACGACTTGAAATACAGAAAGCAATACCTGAAAGCACCTAGTGTGTCATGTGCTGGGCTGCTATCTGCAAGAGCAGTTATTTGAATCCAACAGTCACTCTTAGGGAGCAAAATAGGCAACCCTCTCCAGTAAACAGAGGAGTTGAAAATTTCTTGTTAAAGTTTGGTTAGACACTATGATATACAATTACAATTGCAAATTGGGATTTCTTCTTTAAATTTAGCATTCAGTATTTGTGGTTCTGTGGAATAGATAAAAATTTCATCAAGATGTTTACTAGAGGTAACTAGCAGAAACAAAAAGAAAATCTGTAAATCTTAATACAGGGCTAGGAGTTGTGAGACTTGAGTGCTTTTTTTAAAAAAAGAATTTTAGCTATTCGATGTTGTACAAATTTTAGTATCCTCCCCTTAAAATAAAAGTTTGGAATATATCTATGAACTAACTTTTTGCAATCTTTAAAATAGCTATGATTCTTTCCAGGTATGATAGCTTCTGTAATTACATATTTTTAATCCTATATGGTTATGTAAGCATGAGAAGTCAGAATGATTCATATTTTAAGATAAAGACTGGTTTTGTTTTTATTGTTTTAAAATATCAGCCTTCATTTGCTACACTACTTTGTTGTAAAAATATTACACAATAGAGACTGAGTTGAATAACTGGCTAGATTATTACAAAGAAAGAGAAAATAGTAAATGAAAACAGCAAAAGCAAGGAGCTTAAGTGCGTTCCAGTATTTTTATTTCCAGTATTTGTTTTTCTTCTTTGTTGACTTTTTCTCAGTCTAGTTTAGGAAGGAAATTCATCTTAGACATTGGTTTCCTTTTAAACCTTTTTTTGAAGTCTAGGGTTGTTTTTTTTTAAGCTTATTTAAATATTAACCATTGTTATTCTGTTCATCTTGCCTATCCATTTCTATGTTAAACTTTAGTGAAATCTTGGGCTTTTTATTTGTTTTCCATCTACTTTGAACTCCAAATTAATTTAAGTGCATGTGGTATAAGATAGCAAGAAACAATTATGAAGGATGTTTATGCCTTGAAATAAAATCCCTATGATTACACCCTTAGTTAGGAAAAAGTACCTTTTTATACTTAAATCTTTTTGCTTTCCCCTCAGTTCACTCTTCTCAGACAGGTTTTATTTCCTGAAGCAAAAGCTTTCAGCTTCATCTGTATACATGGATACATGAGTTGAATTTAATTATCACTCTGAGGATCATCTCTGTCTTAGCTCATTTTAGTAATGTTGTTTGCTTATGAAGTGGCTCAGTTTTTTTTAAGAGAAAAATTTTGAAAAGCTTATTTTCCTCTACACAGAAAATTTACATTCTGAACTTTCAAATTATGTAAGAAAATTTGAGCTTTTGATTTTAGAAACTTTCAGTCACATACTTTCTTTTATAACAGCATTGTTAAGATACAATTCACATATGTTTTTTTATTTTCAACTTATCATCCCTTAACTTTTTATCATTTCACTTTTTAACTTGATTTTAAAAATGTATTGTGATAAAATATATAGCTGAAAGTTTACCATAGTCACCATGCTTAAGCACACATTTCAGTGACATAATTATACTTACCATGTGGAAGGCTGATGGAACAAAGTCCTTAGAGGAGATGGGTAGATACTTGCAGAGTGACTGCAGCAGGTGGCTCAAACACAGCAGCAGTTAGATGAGGATGCAGGCCTGGGTCTTTTCCTTTATTATAGGTAGGATCGCTGCGAGTGTGAGCTCACTCAATGGTGCTTAAAGACAATAGCAGTATTTCAGATGTGTGAGTTCATCTTTGGTGGTTATTAGAATACCATTCCTTTATTTTGAAAATTAAAAAGCCAAGGGAGAGACTCTTAATGTTTAGTCTTTATGTACATGAGCTTTACTAATGTGTAAACCAGTAATGAATGTGCTAAAGTTTCATTTTACAGAAAATTTAATATGGTAATGAATACAGAGATGTGACGATAGAATTGTAATATCACTATTTTGTAATTGTTGATACTTTACTGGATTTTGACGTAGAGTAGAAATGATATGGGGAGGGCAGTCATTGGATGAAGGCATCATGCTTGGAAAAGCAGAGGGTCAGCAAAGGAGAGGAAGACCCTCAATGAGATGATTGATGCCGCAACTGTGACACTGGGCATAAGCATGGCAGAGAGTGCGATTTGTCTGAATCATATCTTCCTTGATGGCACCTTACAACAACAGTAGCACATAACATGTTATCAGGAAAGACTTGACAGTAGAAAAGGACATCAGACATAGTGGTTGTCAACCTTGGTTAAACCTTATAACTACCTGGAAGAATTATGAAAAAATAAGGATGTTTGGTTCCCACACACAGAATTTCAGATTTAATTGATCAGTACTGTGTCTTGGGTAGGAGTCTTTTTAAAAAAATGTTTCTTAAATTATTTTTTGTGGATGTGTATCGTCAAATTGCATTTGATCTGGTGGATTTGAACCGTGTACCTCTGGGATTGCAGTGCAGCTTCTTGCCACTAGGCTGTCAGAGTTTCCTTTAGTAGGAGTGTTTGTGACCCAGTGGTTAAGTACTTTGCAGGTGACCAAAAGGCCAGATTGTAGAAGAAAAGTTTGCTTTTATAAGGGAACCCTGTGAGGCAGTTCTGTTCTGTTTCCCTATAGGCAGCATTGAACTGAAATTGGTTAGATGGCAGTGATTTTGTGTACTTGGTAATGCCTTGGGCATTAGGATTTTTTAAATTTCTCCATTTGAAGGTAATATATACAGTGAAGGCTGAGGATCACCAGTTTAGAAAAGAAATCTGGTCAAAACTGAGCTTTACGTTCCTGGGTTTTGGCACCAAAGCAAAACCATTAACCCCCCCCCTCCAAAAAAAAAACCAAACAAACAAAAAACAAAACATAACTGAGCTTTACAGCTCCTCAAATTTTCATTTAGTTTTCTTTTTTAAGCCATTTTGGGAGTGCTGATGGTGTAGTCTATAGTGAATTGTGTTGCCAATCCAAAGGCTGCATTTTCTGGCATCAGTAACTCCAAGTGAGAAAGATGGGCAGTATTTATAGACTTGGAAACCTGATGGAGGTTCACAAGAACTTGGGACCAACTGGTGGCTTGGGTGTAAAGAGTTGCACTGCCAACCCAAAGACCTGTGGTTTAAATCCACCATAGGAGGAAGTTGGGCTTGCTCTTTCCAGGTGATTTTTAGCTTCTAAAAACCCACTGCAGGTTCAGCTGTGAATTGGTTGTAATTCAACAACAATGACATAAAGAGGCTATGACAGTGAAGGAGAGATTACTGTGAAAGTAATATGGTACTTCTGTGTGTTCCCTAAAGGCTTTGATGGTTTTAAAGGTATGTGGTTAGTGTTTTGGAAGAATTGACAGATTCACATTTTGACAGTAATTAAAACACAATTAATTGACTCTACTAATTAAGGTTGTAATGTTTGCATAGGTGGCCTGTGATTTGCTTCGGAGAATAATACGCATCTTGTACCTAAGTAAGAGACTCCAAGCACAGCTGCAGGGGGGAAGCAGAGAGATAACAAAAGCGGCCCAGAGCCTCAATGAACTTGGTAAGTCCTTTGTTTAAAGGGTAGATTTAAAAGTTCTTAAGCTACTTCATTTGTTGAACATTTAAAAGATACTGCCTTCAAGAAATATTGTTTAACTAAAAGACTGATGATGTAGTCTATAGAGAATTACACTGTATATCTCTCTGGTGGCTCAAATCCACCAGTGGCTCAGAGGGAAAATAATGTGCAGTCTCTTCCTGGGCAGTCTACTGGAGGGTTAACTTTGAGTTTGTTCTGACTAAGAGGCAGTGCAGTAAGAAAGTATGTAAATAACTGGCTCTCTATGTCCAGTGCCCACCGCCCTTTGTGTTTAAAAGTCAGTTGAGTCCTGCCTGAGGGTGAGTCTCCAGCTTAGAGCAGTTGGATTCTGGAGGGTATTTTTTGTTTCCTTGAAAGGTGGTTGTAAACTGTTTGGGCTTTTTAAAAAGAAGTTTGTTAACAACCAAGTGTAAGCGGATTGGCTGTTTCTTATTTTGTTGACAATGGCTGTAGACTTGGAGGGTGGGCCTTTGTATTTACAAGTCTGGTGTTAATTGTGGTGGAGGAGAACATTGTTCTAAGTGGTACAGCACTTGTTGGCCAGTTTGCTGTACAGAGATAACTTGGAGTTGCTATCAGACTGAAATCTTTGCCTCTGATGTGTCAAATGCCATTTGAGTTGCCAATTGTGGACAGGTTTTGGTGGAGCTCTCTGATTAAGACAGACTAGGAAGCAGGATGGGCCATCTACTTCCTAAATAACAGGTCTTTGAAAACCCTATGAAAAAATATGTCTTGGAGAGGTTACACCTGGAATGTTCTTTGGAGGCAAGAAGGATGAGGCTTCACCTCACACACTTTGGGCATGTTGCTAGGAGGGACTATTCCTTCGAGAAGGACATGATGCTGGGAACAGTGGAGGTTTGGCAAAGGAGTGGTAGACCCCCTACTAGGTGAATTGACACGATGACTGCTGCATTGGGCTCTGTGTGTCAGGATGTGTTAGGATGATGCAGGATAGAACAAGGTTCATCTTTTGTTCATAGGGTTGTTATGAGTCATACTCGACTTGATTGTACCTAATAACAGCAACAGTATGTTCAGTGGTGTTGTACAGAGGGTTGCTGTGAGTCACAAGTGACTTGACAGCATATAACAGTAACAACACACTTTTCAGAATGGGTAAGCAAAATTAGTTGATTAATGGGAAGTTCCATTCTGTTTTTAAACGATTGTACAGTTAAACCCACTTATTTTTGCTATTTTCTATGACATAAGTACACATCACCAAGAAAGCCATCACAGTCATGGTACAGAACATTTTATCATCATCCAGTATTCCCTCGTGCTCTCTCTTTATACACTCTTCCCCTCTCCTAACTTTGGCAACCATGGATTTCTTTTCCATGGATTTCTTTTCGTCTTTTTGAAAATATCACATAAAGGGAATCATATGGTATATAACTTTTGAGGCTGGATTCTCACCATAATACCTTTGTCATTAATCAAATGGTTATGTGTATCACTAATCTGATACTTTGTTTGACTAAGTATTCTGCAGTATGGAAGGTACCCAATTTGTTTATCCATTCATCAGTTTAAGGACATTTGGGTTGTTTCAGTTTTGAGTGATTATGATTAGAGCATTTTTTGTACATATTTGTGTAGACACAAGTTTTTAATATCTCTAAGGGAAATACTAAGGGGAGGCTTTGTATTTTAGGTAACAGACCACATGTTGTTATTATACTAAGAAGATTTTAAAAATCCATTTCTTCATTGATTTCATTCTTACTTTCAGCAGGTCTTTGGCATTCAAGAGTTTGACTTTCGTGGTTTTGTCTATTAGCAAGTTCCAAGACCCATGATAAAGCAATTCACAAATTTTCAGGCAAAATTTTAAGTAGCTAGTGATTTGAATTATCCAAGCCATAGTATTGTTTCAATTGCTTCCTGTGCTTCTGAAAATAGGACGATGAATAAGGAGGCAGAAGAATTTATGCCTTTTAATTACGGTTGTGGAGAAGCATTGCCACAAGAACAGCAAGTTTGTCCTGGAGGAACTGTGACCAGGGTACTCCTTAGAGACAAGGATGGTAAAACTTGGTCTAAGATACGTTTTGCATATTATCAGGAGGAATCAGTCATTGGAAAATGTCATTATGCTGGGAAAGGTTAGAGCAAGAGAAGAAATTGACCTCCAACAACATGAATTTACACAGTAACAGTATTCTTATCAGAGACTGTGAGGTTATATAGGTTAGGGCAAGGTTTATCCCTGTTGATCATAGCTTGGCTATGAGTTGTAGTCAGCAGCACCCAGCAGTAACACTGGTCGAATGTAGACTTACCCAATGGGTGCATTTTAATGCGGCTTAATGACTTTCTTTTAATTAAACTCCCTAATGTTAAGACCCCGTCCCCCCACTTGAAATGATTGACACGTTGACTGCAGCAGTGGGCTCAAGTGTGTCAGAGATGGTGAGCATGGCACAGGGTAGGACAGGATCTGTCGGAATTCATAGGATTGCTGGGAATTCTACTCAACTTGACAGCGCCTAACAACAACAACAACAAGTTGGTTCTGACTTAAAACAACCCTCCACCTGTTTCCAAGGCTGTAAATCCCAAAGTAGCTAATTTTCTGATGAGCTCTTGCTGGGCTTAAATTTTGGCTAGCAGCTCAACTTGCTACAGGCTGCACAACCAGAGTGCCCTATTTCTTTTCCTTAGATAGCTAGTATATTTGTGGGTTCAGAAGGTCAAGAGTCTCTGTTTCAGGTAGTGTTCTTTAGATGTATTTATAAAAAAGATATCAAAAAAGCAAGCATTACATATTCTTTCTTGCTGTCTTTGATACTTCAATTGCATAAGCATGTAGTAATGCTTTTCCTGTGTATTTTACTGATTAAGAAAATAGAGTAGTATCTTTTACTAATAACGCTTTAAAAACATTTTAGTTATTTAATATTGAGACATAGATCTGTTTAATCACATCTGTGGGCATATATCTAATTTATGGTTTTGTATACTTCAAATATATCTAGTATAAATACATGGAACGTATGTAAAATATGATAATTTTTAAGACGTGACTAATACTTGAACATTGTTTTCTCACTGTGTGCTAAATTTAGGAGTGTAAAAATCCTAGTATCAGCTATTATTTTTTTACTCTAGCACATTTAATTTATATGCTCCAAAAATAGTCTGCAAGATAATATAACTGTTAAAAACAAATTCAAATAATTTTAAGTTTATTTTATATATAATTTATATTATCTCCAGTGCTCTTCCATAATAAAAAATTGCCAAGTTTTCATTACAAGCATACCTTTTCTAAAATCAATAGGTGGTATAATACACATGGTGATTATGGCAACTCCCTCCCTCTCCCAGAGTAAAACAGGTACAAGTATTAATCATAATGTTCTGAGATGGTGTAAAGCAAAGCATAAACCTGTTATCCTTACAGTATGATTTTGGATTTACCAAGAGCTTTTGTAAATGTTAACTGCTTAAGAGGTTGTTGAGAAAGTAGAGTTTATGTTGGAATTATCTCATAGCAGACTATATTGATTTAAGGTTTTAAGGCTTTGCATGTTATGTGCTAGTCAGTATTTGTGAAGGTATCATCTTCAACATTAATGACTGTGAGCTACCAAGCAGCAGCTAAGATGAATAGAAATAAAGTTTCTACATTTGGAATTTCTATTTTAATAAAAGTAATTATTTGGCAGTCATACGACGCATGTAAAATAACTGGTATTTTATACTATTGAGATGCTTTTTAATTATGGTTCTGATTCTTTCTAACAGATAAAATGATGATTAGTTGCAGTGCATGTATCACAGCCACTTAAGTACAAACATTGTGGAAGGCAGTTTGGTACTTCTTCAAAAAGCTGAGCAAAAATTTCTTCAAAAATTCTGTATGACTCAGCTATTTCACTACTAGGAATATACCCCAAGGAAATCAGAACTGAGACACGAATGGAAAGTTGTAAACTGATATTCGTAGCATTGTTATTCACAGTAGCAAGAACATGGAAATAGCCCAAAGGGTCCATCACCAAATGATAGGATTGAGAGATTGTGGTATATTCACATGATGGAATACTATGCAGTACTCAGGAGCAACAATTTCACAAAATAGTATATAACATGAGAGGGGGTAGAGAGCATTATGTTGAGTGAACTAACTCGGGCTCATAAGAACAAATACTACATAAGACTCATTGTAAAAATAGAAGGATAACTAGTAAGAGTTGTATGGATATATCCAAAGAGGGAAGGAGAGGGGGTAGGGTTTGTGGGTGGCAGAGTTTGGTGGGTAGAGGGAGGAGGTGAAGGAATTCAGAAAGGTCCAGTGGGGACGAGAAAAGACAGGGATAATAGTAGGGGATAATGTTGATTAGTTTTATAAGACACAGTGTATAGGAATGATTGTATGGAACACAAAGTGGATGGGGGAAAAAAGAAAAAAAGTTAAAAACTAATCTCTTAAATTTGAAAGTTCTTGAGACTTGAATTAGGATGGCCAGATGAAATTCATTGTTATGTAGATATTAACTATATTCTGAAAGGCTGGGGAAATATGGAGTGAGAGCTAAAGAGGCTTCTTTGGGGAAAAAAAAGAGGCTTTTGGGATTATTGACAGTGTTCTAGAACTAATGGTGATAGTGCTAATCTTGTGAATATACTGGCAACCACTAAAGTGTTTAAAAAGTGGCTAGGCTCTTGATCACAGGTACTGCTTAATTAATGAATGAGTAAAAGGCCAGGGCTTATGAACTTCCTATTTCTAGTGCATTTGCAAAATAACTTTTCCTGATGCAAGTCTCATTTCTTCCTTTAATTCTTCAAGTTCTCTTCTAGCTTTACAATTATATATGGGGCTGTACTTGGTTCTACTGACCTGTTTCTCTCATAGGTTAAAGACTTATATAGGAGAAGGGGTGAGTGATGAGACTTTCTCAAAAGGAAGGATTTTCTCTACAAGGTTTTTATGACCTATGAGA